GGGCGGGGGGGGCGGCAGGGCCCCAGCTGTCCGTCCTGCTCTGGAATGAAAGGTTTTCTAGGTAGCCTGTAAACAAACAAAAACAAACAAACAAACAAACCAGAATCATAAAACCTACCGCTCAGCCTGTGGCAATATGTGCCAACGACTTACGGATTCTGGATCTGGGGTTCCTTGTCGGAAGGAGACTGTTTCTGTCTTATGACATTATTATTAGTAGCAGCAGTAGCAGCAGTAGTAGTGGTGGTGGTGATATTGTATAATAAGTGTGTTTAACGGCACTTACTGTTATAACCCTGTTCTCATTCTGCCCTTATTAACTTATTAGTAACAATTAACAAGTAGTAATAAAATATAAGCTTGAATTGTTTTTTAATCCTCCTGTGAGGATATTTTTTCCATTGGCTTTTTTAGAGAGAGAGGAAGGGAGGGAGAGGGGAAGGGAGAAGGAGAAACATACATCTGAGAGAGATACACTGAGTGTTTGCCTCCCACACGTGCCCCGACTGGGCCGGGGATCGGACCTGCAACCCAGATACATGCCCTTGATGGGGAATCAAACCCTTGACCTTTAGGCGCACAGGCCGAAGCTCTACCACTTGAGCCACACCAGCCAGGGCTATAACTTGAATTTTTAAAAATAGCATTTAGTTTTCTGGAGCTGATATATTAATAGAATAAAGCCCAGCAGCAGCATTTTTCTGTACACAAACCTCCAAGTCTTTATTGCCCCTTGCTACTCCAGCCCAGACCAGGGCAGTGTCCTCTTACCTGGTATCGCCTCCTCCAGCCCTGTTCCCTTACATGTAAATGGTACCACCAGATGCAATTTTAGATCAGACGGGACTAGAAAGTGCATCCTGATCCTACCCCTCCTCTGATTAAAACCTTTCCAGTGGACCGCATTGCCCACAGAATAAAGTCTAAATGTCAAATTCTGTACTCTGACATTTGAGGCCCTCTATAGAACAGCCCATCCTGTTTCCTAATCTTCACATTATTCTCTTTCATGAACTCTGTTGTTTTCACAAAAAGAATTTGGCTTTCCTACGCGTGTAATGTGAACTCTTGTCCACTTAACTTTGGTTATGAGGCACTGTCAGCCTAGAATTGCCAGCACCAACCCCATCTCTATCTGGTCTTGTCCTATTTATCCTTCAAGGCCAGATCAAATGTCCCCACCCCCTTGAATATTCTAGATCCTTATAGCCAGAAGTAATCTCCCCTTCTTGCAAAACTCACGAGACTTTTCCTGCCTCTTTTATGGCAGGAAAGTTTCTAAATTGTACTATCATTATTTATCTTTGTGGTTTTTTTAATGCTCACCTGAGGAGTGAGGATATTTTCCATCGATTTTTATTTTTTATTTTAGAGAGAGGGGGAGAGGGAGAGAAAGAGAGGAGAGAGAAACATAGATGTAAGAGAGACACATAGATTGTTTCCTCCCACATGCACCCCAACTGGGGCCAGATTGAGCCAGCAACCCAGGTACTTACCCTTGACCGGGAATCAAACCTGAGACTCTCCAGTGCACAAGCCAACTCTCTAACCACTGAACACACCAGCCAGGGCTATCTGTGTCTTATCATTGCTATTGAACAACTATTCGTCTTTTTTCCACCTCAATACTAAATATATTTCATTCACTATTAAAACACTATTTATTGAATAAATAAATAAATTTATCAGTTCATTAATATCTTAAGTAATTGTTCTTCCCTGCTAAGCATGTTAATAAACTTAAGTGGTTTCCTTAAGTAACAATCAGTTAATACCAAAATAAAAGCTGGGCAAACTCCAATTCTTTTTATTTTTATTTTTAGTTTACAGGCCTGTTTAATATGAAAAGAATTATTAGAGTCATATCATGAAGCACTGTGCATTGCTTTGGTTTCAGAATAATTCTGTCCTAGATACCATATATGGAAATATCAGAGACTGGGCCTTTGTAAGAATTTCAGCTCCAGAAAATGTCTGACTACGCCAATAATCTATACTTTGACCGGACTTAGGAGCTGAGGACAAGGCAGTCTGACCTACTAAATAATGCATCTCTTCTGAAAAACAGTGCCCGTTGATAGCCTTAGCCTCTGAGGAGGGAGAGCTGCCATTGTGCCTATTTCCTGCCAAGCTCCAAGTCCAAAATCTTAGTGCCCCCTAATGTTGAAAGCAACCCTTTCACTGTTAATAGCTAAATAAATGGAGTAAGAAAAATAAGTGACTCATTGCTCTAAACAATAAAAGTTTCCCTTTGAAATAAAAATTTATAAATTTTCCAAAAGAAAAGTGAAGACCAATGTCAGTGAAATTTAACTTTGAAAGTAGTAATGATCTATATTTGTGTAGAATGCAAGCTTTATGGACATTCCTTTGAGCACCTATTTAATCTCTAGTCCTCGGAGGGCTGTCTTGAGCTTAATTCATCCTCACTGTTTCTTTTGAAATTGTCCATCGTTTTCCTTCCTTTTATGTCCTTCTTACATCATTCCTGAGGTATTTGCTTAGGCTGTGGAGAGATTGAAACTAGACCCAGTGTTCTGAGGATTTTCTGGGGGTTTTTTATAGTAGAGCACTTAGTCATTTCCAGGGTATTTTTCTTAATCCCTCTCTTTTTATTTTGAATTTCAAAATTTTTATTTTAAAGTCAACTTTTTTCTTCAATAAAGGTCTTCTTCTTTAGCTCCTCTTTCTTTTTGGAAAAGAAAAAATTAAGTATAGAGTGTGGTTTAATATGAACTGGACTATAGTGTTAAATGCCTCTCAGATTCTTTCTAACATTACTTAAAATAAAAGGTTTGTCAGGAGCCAGCGTTCTTGGCATGTTGGGTAAATTCTTCATAAATTCAGTTTTCAATTGGATAGTGTCCATAAAAGCAAAACATAATAGTAAAACATGTTCATGCTTTCCACCGGTTTTATTATGCAAAACACCATTTTCTATAATCTTGGATTTTTGAGGCTAGAAAAAGCTTTAATAAATCACATCAGCAGGTCTAAAAATGCACATAGAGCCAAATTCGGTTTCCCATTTTTCTAAGCAGCTATGTGTGAGTAAGAAGAAAGGGATTGAGGGGTTGGTGAGAGGAGTGGAGAGGAAATAGGTAGTGAAGAAGTTAAGGCAAGTAGCAGCAACACCCACATCAGCCCACTGAAGCTCAGGGGCAGCCTGATAATAGTTTTAAAAGTGTGAGAGAAAATAGAAACTATATGAATTTTAAAAGCCTCCATGTAGAATGTAAGATGTGTTCTCCTCGGTCTGCTTAGTGATGTCTTTGTTTTAACACAGGGCCTCGGCAAGGATGTGGTGGCTATCTGACAGCCTCAAATTACACCTTTGCCTCTCCTGATTCTGATTCAGATGGAAGATATGACAAGAATTTAAACTGCGTATGGTTCATAATTGCACCTGTAAACAAACTCATTAAACTCACCTTCAATACGTTTGCTCTGGAGTCAGCATCCACTTTGCAAAGATGCATTTATGATTATGTAAAGGTAAGGCTGTTATATTTCTTGGCAGAGTGTTCTAATACAGACTTTGATATGGTATATTCTACTTCACACCATATAGGGAGTTTTGGAAATTGTGAGTACCACTAATTTTTTAAATGACCTATACTTCAATGATATAATGTATAATATTACAGATGCTTTATCTTCATATCAAATTAATGTTTAGTATGGATGACTCAAAAACTTTGAGTGGCTTCTAACACTAGCTCTAAGATTCACTGTTCATCCATGCCTCCTTAGGAAATGATCTGCGGACCAAGCTTGTATAAGAAGAGATCTCAAAGCACCTTTGGCAAATCCTGCATATAAATAATCACCCCTTAACTTACCTATTTTTAAAGTTTATATATTTACTTTTCATATTATCTTTATATGTGGAAAACAACTTAGTTCTAAAATCTCATTGAAAGTAAATCAAGGGACTTCTCAATGTTTAATGACTCTTCAATATTAAATTATTTTATCTATCAGGCTATATGAATTTGAGAGTTTTAAGAAGTGTCAATCAATATATAGTACTACATTCTTGGGGAAAAGTGAGTATGGCAAGATTTCTAACAATGAGGAGGTTAAATCTGATTACCAAGTTAGGGGATGATACAAGCGAATCAACAATAAGCAACCAGGATAGTTAAATTTAAGTGCTAAGTAATGCTTTGGATACAGGATTAAAGCAGTGTGCAAGTTTAAAAGGAAGGAAAGTTTGTGATTGTCTGGTGTGACCAAGAAAGACTTCTTAGAGAGAGGGAATGCTTATTCAAGTCAGGAGAGGAGGCACTCCAGGCTAGTGGAACGTGAGAGAAGGCATGGACATGGGAATGTGCATGTTCCTGAAATAGTGAGGGGCTGGCTCTATAAGAGCAGAATATTACTAAAGAGTAGCAAGAAACAAGATTGTGTAGTGCAGAAATTCTCAGAGTATAAAGGATCTTGAAAGTCAAACTAAAGAATTTAGATTTTATGCAGTTAAAAATAAAGAGTCATTGAAGGTTTTCCAATCAATCCAAGTGATACAGGTTGAGAGCAGAATTTAAGAAGGCTAATCAGGAATCAGGACTCTGGGTGAATTGTCACAGAGTCTGGAGTTAGGGCCCCAAGGTGAGGCTACCTTTATGTCAGGAGGGTACAGAGATGGTAGAGATAACAAGCCTGGTGCAAGAGAAACTTTTTAAGTTCAAAATCATGTTAAATTTTAAAGAAATTGTTGTGTGTTTTTAAACAGGGAAGGAAAAGTCATAGGTGGACACGCACTTGAGCACTTAATTATATACTGTCTCATATTTTACTGTGATAAGCACCAAGCCTAAGAAAGCAGAAGAATGCCAGTGCTATTAGGAAGAGACCATGCTCCTGTAAGGGATTGGTACAGGTTGGATCATAGCAGGGCAGACAAATGGCATGGCCTGTGGGCAGGGGATGGAACAGAGCTCCAGCAACAAACAGACCAGAGAGGAGATAGCAAAAGAGCACTCCTGACATCAGGGGAAACGGGGCTTTCCTTCAGGGGGACAGCCTGGAGCTAGAAAGCCAGAGACCCACTCAACCCCAGGGAAGGTTCACAGTGAGGCAACTGGACAACAAAGGACAGGAAACACGAGTCATGGAAAAACAAACAAAAAACAACAGCCAGGAATAGTATGGTATCACTGAAGTCAAGGAGAGAGCCTTTCACCAAGGATGGGTGGTCGATACTTTTAAATTGTAAATTAGAGGCCAGGAAAGGTTAAGATGAAGGAGAAACTCATTAGATTGGCTGACAACTTTAAATAAAGTATTGGCACAGAAGCAGGATCAGAGGGAGTTCGTGAAAAACTAAAGATAACAAGAAATGTCAGTTCGGGTTGAATGGTTCCTTTCTGAAATGAGACCAGAATGGCCGCAGCAGCAGTAAAGCTGATGTTCAAGACAGTTCGACAGTTACTTAAATTTTGCAAAAAGGTAACAAGTGTTAGAGAAAGATAATATGCGCTCAAACCCAATTTTACCACCTGACAAATTTTGTGTCTCCCTGATTCTTATCACTGCATCTATTAAAAAACAAACAAAATCATGCAATCATACCTACCTTGCAAAGCTATATTGAGGATAAAGATAATATATGTGAGACTGCGCAACACTGTGCCTGACGTATGACTTATAAACAAATGTATTTCTTTATTTTTCCCATTGTGAAATTACAGAAGGCATGAGGCTGTACAATCTCCCTTTCTTAAAATATTAAACATAACTGATTTGTGTATACATTATTTTAAATATAAACTCATATAGAGTGTTTGGTCCTTCTGGAAAGATTAATAGGACTTATTCTCAAGATCCATTTCCATATAGAAGATTGTGATTTGATAATCTAATTAAAACAACTAGTAATTTTAGGACAGAAATAGCAATATTGAAAACAAGGAGTTATTTTCTAGCTTAGAGCTATAATTCTTTAAAAAAAAGAAAATCTGTTCAGATCTACTCTTATTTTCCTTCTTGGGAAAGCAATTTTCCTCACTTGGCAAATTTTTCAGCTTATTCTAAATGGGCAGATAAAAGAACACCCCTTGAAATGGGAAGCCTGGAGGTCTCTTTATTAAAGAGATTTTCTGTGATAAATGAGACATTTGATTCCTTTTAGATTGCTCCTTAGATATTATAATTAAATTACTTTTTAGAAAAGCTTACTTAATTCAGTTCTGTAGGTAGATATACAAGTAAAAACTTGCCAGTTTCATTATTCATCCTTTATTTATTTATTTATTTATTTATTTATGTATGTATGTATGTATGTATTTATTTTTAAATATATCTTTATTGATTTCAGAGAGAGGAAGGGAGAGGGAGAGAGAGAGATAGAAACATCAACGATGAGAGAGTCATTGATCTGCTGCAGCCTGCAGCCTGCAGCCTGCAGCCGGGGCATGTGCCCTGACTGGGAATCGAACCCTGATCCCCTGGATCCTAGGCCGATGCTCAACCGCTGAGCCACGCCCGGCTGGGCCATCCATAATTATGTCACTATTTTTTTAAAGGGTTGATTTGGAAAGTTATTAAAATACATAGTGAATTGTGTATTTCACTGAGTGGTGGCTGTTGAAATTAACATCACATCCATTCCATAAGGAGTCGAGTGGCATCATTATGTGCTGGGCATTGTCCCCTGCACTCAAGATGCGGGAAGGTTAAAATACAGTTCCTCAAGGAGCTGTAGAGTGAGGAGACTGACATGTGAGCACATAAATCATTATACATAAAACATGACAAAATGAACAACATGGAAAAGCAGAAGAGAAGAGAGAATGGTTGATGTCACTTTGGAGTCAGGAAAGGCTTCCTGGATGGGACTGCTGAGCTAGGCTTCGGAGGCCCATCACAAAAGCACGCTCCCCGTGGGAGGCCGGCTGCGAAGAGAAGGAAAGACAGAGGGGCTGCCGCTGCACAGAGCACCCCCAGCCTCTCGATACCAGTTTGCCGACTGGTCAAGTCCCTCCCCTGTGGTGGGCAGTGAGTGACATGGCAGAGAGGGCTCAGAACTGGGCCCCTGGCTGGCATGTCTTTGCCAGGGACTATGGAACTAGTGGGAAGAAGGTGGCTTCCTCCTAACATTTCCCACCAATATTTGTAATATTTCCTTGACCATCCAGAGTGAAAGTCACCTATGCTATAGCCTGTCCATATACATAGTTTCAAAAAGTCAATGTAATGTACCAACTGCAGTGCAAAGGAGAAATAAAAGGAAAGTATATAAAATAGCGCAGATTTCACTATATCAGTTCTCTGACACACCTACACTAAGTCAGACGATAAAGAAGTCGGATTCTTCTCTGTGGAATCATGGCAGATGTAAAAGTGTAAGTTTAAACTAATACAGGTGGGCTGTATTTGTAACTTAAATGCCAGCAGCAGTATCACCATCTGCAGTATGAATTTCTAAAATGGTGGAAAAACTGAAATAAAGCAGTTCTAAAGAAAACAAAGACTACTGTTCCCTCAACTTGCACAGCATTTACATTCTTGGAAATTTGGTGAATATTAAGGCTGTGCAAAAATATTTTTGTGTTTATATAGTGAATGGATTTAGGTTCTGGGATCAAATAATTGCAAACAGTTTTAATGCACAAATGTCTGGCAGGACATTCGGTTATGTGGAACATAGAGTAAACCTTCACTTTGTAGAACTTTCCTGTGAATTACAGGATGGGATTCTGCCATGTGGCTGCTGAATACTAAATGCCAGTTACAGCCCCAGATTATTGTGATAACCATAAAACACCATATTTTTGTAAAACACTCCCTAAGGGGCAGCTCTGTCCCCAGTGAGAACATCTATCTTAACCCCCTGGGCTTACCCATTCAGTCTGTGGTCAGCCACTGTAGAGGGAGTGTCCATCTCTGGGGAGGAGATCAGCAATCTCTCAAGGGATCAGGCTCCTATCCTTAAGAGGAGTACCATTCATTCATTCATTCATTCATTCATTCATTCAATAAATGTTTATTTGAGCACCCATTATGTTCCAGACACTATTCTAAGCACTAGAAAAGAACACTAATAATAACAATAATAATAAAAATAACTATAAAAATTCCTGTATTTATAGAGCTAATTCTAATCATTGCTTCTTGTGGCTCTTCCTGACACCACTGGGACCAGTATAGCATTTTCCCCAGAAGGACCTGAAAGAGATCAGAGTTCAGCCCTAAACCTTAAAAATGACACTTTTCTTTTTCCCATCTCAAATTATGCCCCGGCATGTTGTCCAGCAGACTCTAACAGAGGCTCCTCGATAAAGTCAAGGAATTTGTGAAGATACTCTAAGGTGCAATGTAGAGATGTTCCACGTAAGAATATAAAAATGTTCCTGTTATTAAATTCCCAGGAAAATATTAAAAGATAAAGTCCTAAGAAAATTAATGTCTGAAATGAAGTTAAATGGGAAAGAATTAAAGTCAAATTTCGAAGTCTCTTGCCCTTTAGCATTAAAAGTTCATAGAAATTAAAATTCATACATTTCCTTCCCCACTTTCTTCTTTGGCTCAGATTAGTGGCTGGATAAAGTGCATGATCTTGCAGTCACTGTAGTCAGAGGCCGTCTTCCCTAAATTATTTGTACAATTCCTTCAGGATCTTAAATAGATTCTAAGATGCTCCACTATCAAAGAGTTTTAAAAGCTGAGAAGACACAAAATTCTTATCAGCACTCGTCTACATCCACAAGACTTAGAACATAATTTAAGCTCCAGGTCTGAAGCACTTGTGCCAGGCAACACATGAGTCCACAATGCAGTAATCAGCAGCAACTGAGTAAGTCCTAAAGGGCACCATTTATATCCTGGTCCATGTGACCCCCATCTCCAGCACTGTATGGTACACGCCCTATTACACGCTCCGGAGCTACCATGCAGAAGTCACAGTGGAGACTTAGTATTATCCACGAATGGGAGAGCAGGTGGAGAAAAGCTTGGCTTTGGCTACAAGGAGTCCAGGAGCCCATGTCAGTTGTCCAGAGACCACAACCTGTCTATGTCAACACAATTAAGAAAAATCTCATTGTGGCAGTGAATGAACTAATGCAAGCACCAGCTGGAGGCCAGCCATTCTGCAGTTCCCTTCCATCACTTCCACCAGCTATTTACTCAAAGCCCAAACCAGATCTTATAACTTCTACAGGAGAACATGCAAACTCCTTAGCATGAAGCATGCAGAATTTCAGTCGTGTCCCAATACCGATTATGGCTTCTCACCTTAATCTCCAGGCGCCTCGAAAGGTGGTGAGCTCTTGAGACATGCCATGCCTTCCATACTCCTGTGGCCTTCTGCATCTGTTTCCTCTTCTATAGGGCTGGAAGGGTCCACTTACTGCATATATATATATACTTTATTGTTGGCAGTATTACAGATGTCCTCCAATCCCCCCCCCTTTGCTCCCTCCTTCCAGCCCCTGCCCCACCCCAGGCCTTCACCACACTATTGTCCGTGTCCATGGGCTATGAATATATGTATATAAGGCCTTACTTTTAAAATACAGTTCAAATGTCTGTGTGAGGTCTTTCCTGACTTCACCATCTGGGTTCCCCTATTATATTTAATTCTTTTCTTGTAGCACTTTTTTTCTTTATTTTATATATAATTTATACACACACAGATATACGGGCATATTTAATTTATGGAACTCTCTCTCCCACTAATTTGTGAGTGTCAAATTAGTGTATTGAATGTATGGAAAGTGCCTTATACATCCTTGTATACATAGGACCTAGCACAGAGGCCTGGCACACAGTGCATAGAATAAAAATGCTGCTAATATGAATGTGCTGATAAAGGCAGTAATGTTTATAATAAAAGTTTAACTTGCTTACCAGAAAAAGTACATTAGCTAAAACTTGGCCAAAATAAGGGTATAGATGACTCTACTCTTGAATCTCTTCTGCCTCTAAATTTACTAAAATCGTTTTCAAGCAGGTGAGGCAGTGCCATCTAGTGGTTCGTCCTTTCTTCTGTTTAATATTAAATTCCTCTTTCTAACCATTTCTATTTTATATATTGCTATCATTTTAAAATAATGTCAGTGGTCATGTCTATTCTATAACACACCATAGTTCTTTTAGAAATTCGATATTTATATCTACACACACTGACTTTAGAAATACCATGAAGATTACTGCGCTGGAGAAAACTTTGTTTTCTAGCAATTGACAGAAATACAAGTAATCGCTATTTCAACAGGGGTTTGTCGAAGGCTTTTATGGCTGGGACTCATTCTGGGTGCTGGACTCATTCTGGGTTCTGGGTGCTCATTCTTGTTGGGAGAGAGACCAGAAAAAGTAAATAAGCAACAAATAAGATACATTTTGATTATAATAAGAAAAGAGAAGAGGAAGATATTGGGGGAGGGCCACTTTAGATAGAGTTGGCCTCTCTCAAAGAGAGGCATTTGAGCTGTGATCCCATGAGTGTGGTCCATCCAAGCTGAGGAGAGAATGCTTCTGGCAGAAGAACAGCAGGGGCCTGGGCCTGGGCAGGGACTCACCCTGGGATAGAGGAGTTACAGGAAGCAGGGGGCTGAGGGCAGGCCCAGGCCAGGCCAGGTAGGGGCTTGCAAACCCCCATGAAGAGTTTGGTTTTACACTAAGTGCAGTGGGAATCCACTGGAGCCTGTTAGGCCGAGCAGGAGCATGATCTGATTTAAGTTTGCAAACACACGGGCGGCTCCATATAGAATACCGGGGCTGCTCTGTGGAAACACGCCTATCAGGAAGATGTTATAAGAATAAAGGTGAAGGACGATGGTGGGGACAGTGGAGATGGAGCCCTCTGGGGTAGATTGCAAAGGGAGAGTGGAGTAGATGTCGGGTAGGGGAGAGACAGGAATCAAGGATGGCTGAAGTTTTAGGCTAGAGCCGTTTGCTGATATAAAGAAGGCCGGGAGAGAACAGGGTTGAGGGGGTGGGTGTTGGAAGAGAGGACTCAAAGCACTTACTCATTTGTTAGCTATTTACTGGGCGCCTGTTCTGTGCCGGACACAACAGGACTGCAATGCACAGAGCAAACAGCACCCTGCGCTTTCACGGATTTGCGCTTCCTTCAGAACTGACAGTAACATAGCAACACGCACAGTGGGTGGAGGAAATGCAGGCGCTGAAGGAACGAGAGCACAGGGAAGAAGGGAGAGAAGGGTGGGGAAGTTTCTATTTCAATAGGGTGGTCAGTGATATTTGAGCAAAGACCTGCAGGAGCGAAGGGAACAAACCTCATGGTTCCATAGGGGAAGGGTGTTCCAGGCAGAAGGATCGAGGAAGGCGACAGCCAGGAGGGGGCACTGCGCCTGGAGCAGAGAAAACCAAGTGGAGACAGTAAGACTTCCAGTGAAAAGGTCAGGGGTGGGCGCGGAGAGCAGATTCTATTAGGCCTCCGAGGCCACTTTCATGGCTTGGCTTTTGTATTGAGTGGATGGGAAGCAGTGAAGAGGGGTCTTAGCAGAGTGGTGACCTGGACTTAACTTTTAACTGTGTCCTCTGGCTGCTGTGTTGAGGACAAGCTGAAGGGGGACAAGTGTGGAAGCGGGAGGCTGCAGTGCGAACCCAGGGAGGGTTGGCCCCGCACGGTAGTGAGAATGGATGTGAGGATAGTGATGGGTTTGCTGGCTGTAACGACACGTTATTTTTTAAACCATGTATTACTTGCACAATTAGAAAAAAGTTTTTAGACATCCTACCAGGTTTCTACGGAAACTCATTATTTTATATTCGATTTAATAGCTGTTCCTAAATTAAAACTAGCTCTAAGAACATCACTGTAAGATTCTTGATCATGACCTATTGGGACTTCACATCCATTTTAGTGTAAAATTTGCAACCTCTTTGTGAATAATGCAGAACTAATGAACTGTTTTCCTTTCAGCTATATGACGGGGAGAGTGAAGATGCCGAGTTGGCTGGAACATTTTGTGGTTCCAGGGTACCTGCGCCCTTTGTCTCTTCTGGTAACTTCCTGACAGTTCAATTTGTCAGTGACATAACTTTGGAAAGGGAAGGATTTAATGCTACATATACCTTCATCGACAGTGAGTAAATTGAGACATTTTTATATATTATGAAATGTGTATTTATGCACTAAAAATATGTCACACTTGTATCTAAACTCAATGTTAATTACTAAACTCAATGTTAGTGATCATCTAAATTCAATGTCAATTACTGAAAACCATGTTAATTACTATGTGTTTAATTCATGATACAAATTTGGTACAATTCTTAGTCAAGAATATATATTCTAAGTTCTTCACAGAGTGATGTAAATAGAGCTCCTTTGGGCTGGAGGGGTAGGAAAGGCAGAATTTTAAATATCATATGCATGATGAGACATGAGTAAAATTTGTCTTGAAAGTTGTTCTTTTTTCCCATCTCAGTGATTTGTGGTGGAACATATAATGCAACTTGGACCCCACAAAATATTTCGTCACCCAGTTTATCAAACCCAGATGTCCCACTTTCCACCTGTACTTGGGTCTTTGAAGCTCCTCCACATCAGCAGGTCAAGATCACTGTGTGGGCATTGCAGCTGCACTCGCGGGACTGCCACCAGAATTACTTAGAGTTTCAGGATGCACAGGAGGTAATAATTATAGTGTGAATGACAGTCACATCTAGTGGCCTTTTTACCAGTACTTTCAAACCGCTTGAAGTAATGAGAGCATAATGAAATAAACTGTCAAAGTTTCTTCTAGCTTAATGTATTTTTCGGCTATATACAAACCCTCTATTTAGGTGTTAAGAAATTTTAACTTGGTCCTTAGGTCAGGAGCTCTCAAACTTTCATGTGCATAAAAACATCTGGGTATCTTGGTACAAGTGCCTACGCCTGGACCCCTCCCTCAGAGACCGAATCCCCCACATAGCACCCATTGCTCTGAATTTTTGATGAGCATCTCCGGTGTTCTGATACTGGTGTTCCATGGGCCATACTTGGGGAAACGCTTCTATAGTTAGTGGAATCTATGTATAGGGTGAGATGCAAGGGCCAATGCAGAACACAGTGAAATCAATTAAGAGGTCATATGGCCCCAGTCCAGTGGCACTGCATTTATGATAATGTAAGAAAGAAGCCCAGCCGGGCGTGGCTCAGTGGTTGAGCGTCTACCTAGGATCCAGGCGATCAGGGTTTGATGCCTGGTCAGGGCACATGCCCAGGTTGTGGGCTCGATCCCCAGTCGGGGGGTGTGCAGGAGGCAGCCAATCAATGACTCTCTCATCATTGATGTTTCTATCTCTCTCTCTCCCTCTCTCTGAAATCAAGATATATATTTTTAAAAAAGGAAAGAAAAAGAGGGGGGGGAGTTGATTTGGTTAAAACAAAAATGAGTCCAAATTACCCATGGGATAAGACAGTGAGGAGACAGTTGGGCATAAAAGTATGATAGTGATAAAGGCCTGAAGATTTGATTGTCACCATCAAATGAATCAGTAGTTAAAACAATGCGAGTGATGAGATTATCCAGGGAGCATTTGTAAAGTGAGGACTCATGAAATGAGGATGGGTGCCTGGGGGAGCACCTGGGAATGCCTGGATTGTCTCCCTGCAGTTTGAAGAGATTAGTTAATCTACCCCAGTTCAGTTTAGGAGGGTCATGTTCAAACCCCCATGTGCTGGCTGGCAATAGTAGAGGATCCAGTCTATCCCTTCTGAGTCTTCAAGTCCTCCTCATTCTAAATCTGGGTCCCCTGTATTACTCATGTATCTTGGTGGAGGCTGACTCCAATGTGGAGAGAGGTTTGAGAAATACTGGCTTCTGAATAGACACTGGATTTGCTGAAATATTACAAAACGGAAACACTGAGGTACATTCTGTGTTCCCACAGTGGTCAAGATGATAGGTTATCATCATTCCATTGGTCTTCAGAATACTTTTTGTATATCCCAGTGGTACACTTCCTGGAAGGACTTAGAGCCAACTGCAACAAAACCCGTTGATTAAAGCTCTTTCAGTTTCCCATTGTTTCATGCATCCAAATTTTCCAACGTGGATCAGGGCAGACTACCATCTGGGTGCCTGCGTGCTACTTAAGGGCATTGGATAGCTCTGTATAATATTGACAGCTAGATTGGCCTCAAATAAGACCCAATATTTGTCATGAATAAATAATGTCCTTCAGCTGAATGGATAAAGGAAAAGATCAAAGAGTTTCAGCCTGAGCAGAGAGGGAGAAAATATAAGAAATCAACTAATAACTGAAAGAACAAAACTTTTGAGGTGTCCAAGAGTAGAAAGAGAGATGTGGTTGGAAGATCATGAAAGAATCATGTGGTGGAGGCACTGCAGATAATAAAAAGATCTGACTGCACAGCTGGTGTTAGGGCAGGCAACCACAGAGAATGGACATGAAAGCCGCTGGCATTAAGGAATGCAAATTAGGATGTTTAATGGGTTCTCTGTAAGAACCTCCGAGGGTTCATAAAATGGCTCTGAGCTAAAATACCACAAGTCTTTAATTAAGGAAGGGAAGTATCCAGAAAGAAAGTGAGAATGATCAGATGGATCAGAGAGTATCTTTGGCCAGATGTAGAGACCCTCAAAGAAAAACTAGCTTTGATTCGAGGACATATGCTGCAGTGAGCAGCTTGGGAATCCCTGCCCATCCCCAGCCCCCATTCTTTCTCAAACTGTGTAGAGTGGGAAAAGAATGACCTCCACAGGAGGCTGAAGGAGACCCAAGTTTCACTCAAGGCCACAAAGTGGAAAGGCTAAGGATGTGTGCAGGAGTGGTTACCAATGCAGTTCAAGTTCAGAGGATACACCAGGCAAGGTTAGGAAAGGACCAGCTGCAGGAGACAGTGCGGGGTAGAAGCACTGATCAGTAACAGGAGTTGGCAGCAGGAGTGGGGAATGGGCCTTTCAGTAGGTGCCCAAGAACTATAGGTATTGGAGGCGTACCTGTTGTGAGAGGCAGCAGGTGTTCTGCCTTTGATACAAGCTGTTTTTATGCAAGGACTGATAGGGTTAGACTGCATTTATCCTGTCCCCTTGGGACGTGATGGGGGCTGCCAGGTGTAGTTACAAAGGGGAAACAGGAACCTCATTACAGGCGCCGGTGGCACTGGGGGCGTCATAGCAATGCTGAAGTGTCTGGTTAGATTTGCTAAGGGGTATCGAGGGCAGGAGCGGTGAGTTAGTCTTATGGAGTTCCAGACTGGGGAAAAACGCCAGTAGAAGAACTGCAGTGAACTTGAACAGTGATGCGCCCAGAGCAAGGGCACAGACCTTGGCTATGAAGAGGGGGGAAGGGTCTCATTTTCAGGAGGCAAGTATCTGTCTGGTGGCTTCAGCATAAACTTGACCTCCCCCACTTCCTGTCCTTTAGAGAATGTGAGACAGTTGTGGATTCCAAGGCCAATGTCAGTCTTACTGCCAAGTGCTCAAACAATGTATCTAGTTTCCATGGCTGATTATTAAAGTGTACTTTCATATGCATTTAATTTTTGCTATGGCCTATTCTCTTTTGAAGCAAAATCTAATGTGTTTGGCTTGACTTTCTTTTCAGAGTAATGGAAATGCAAGAATTCACTTCTGTGGCAGCAATGCGTCAGCTGTTCCGACGTTCTATTCTTCTTTGAGCACTGCAATTGTCATTTTCAAATCTGAAGTTTTTAACAACTCTAGAGTGGGTTTTACCTATCAGGTTGCAGGTGAGCCTAGGACTTTATCTTTTGTACAGAAAATCTGCTATCATTACAATTATTGCTAGAACGGACTCCTGTGAGCATGTGAGTAAATCAGGGCTTGTTTACATGACATAAAACTTCACTAGAAACCAGGCCCAATCCAGCAAGTTACTAAAGCTGGTTCCCAAAGAGGTCAAGCAAGTACGATGCTAATTAAAATGTTTAGAATGCCAGCATATTCTTCAAAGTTCACGTAATTACATAATTTAAAATTGTATGTTATTTTATTAATTATCCACTTGAACATGTATAGAAATCACAGTAGCTTAGGAAATTATTCTGTCAGAACCAAGAAGCTTTGAAAGAGCTACTTGATTACTAAAACTGAGAAGTTTATTTCCAGAGAACACTTTATTTAATGTTCATTTGGAGCTTGATTAAAACTAACACTGCCTTTGATTAAACCCTTTGAGGCAACAAGGAGGGACCCAGGGAGTATTATGCTAAGTGAAATAAGCCAGTTAGAGAAAGACATGATCTCACTTATATGTGGACTCTAATGAACAAAATAAACTGACAAACAAAATAGATCCAGAGACATGGAAGCATGCACCAGACTAACGATTCTCTGCGGGAGATGGGGGTGGAGGGTGAAGAGATTAAACCAAAGAATTTATATGCATATATGCATAACCCATGGGCACAGACAAGAGTGCAGTGAAGGCCTGGGGAGGGGGCAGGAGTGGGTTGGAGGGGGTCATTGGGGGAAAAAAGGGTAACATTTGTGATACTTTCAACAATAAAGATAAATTAAAACATAAAAAAAAGAACAACAATTTGCCAGGTCTCTCAGAATACATAATTCATCAAAGGATTTAAAGGGAAATCCTCACACAAGATTTTGTCTTGGAGGTAGAGACTTTATGTGAAAAAGAGTTTAAATGTCAGCCAGCCACCTCAGTGTGATCAGAAAGAGCACAGAGAATTCTAGAATATCCATCTTCGAAGGCCAGTGCTCATATTTCACATTTCACGTGGGGTATTTCCTGTTACCGAGACCCTGCCCTGAATGTGCTCCACTTGCCCTTCCCCTCATCTCCGGGGTCCCAGTGACCTCAAAGGTAAATGCAGAGGCTGGGTTGGCTTTTTGCTAATGTGCTTAAATTTAATCACTTTTTCAGTTATTCCTGTCAGGTCAAAAAGACACTAAATATTGGTACACATACATTAATTGTGAATATTTTTTTCTCTAAGGTTGTAACAGAGACTATCACAGGGCATTCGGCAATCTGAAGAGCCCCGGATGGCCCGATAATTATAACAATAACATGGATTGCACTGTGACTCTCACAGCCCCACAGAACCACACCATTTCCCTCTTCTTTCATTCATTTGGCATCGAGGACTCCAGTGAATGCAGACATGACTTCTTGGAGGTAACATCCATTTGGATCTCATATAAGTGAATTATATAAAAGATGATGGATCACTTCCGATTTTTCACCTTTTTCTCTGCTACTGCTAAAAATATACCCCTTACTCATTTCCTTAATTTATTCATTATATTTCAGTCCATAAATACTTGCCAAGCAACTTCTATGGCCAGGTGCCAGAAATCCAATGGGGAACACGATACAGTCAGGGCTCCCGGGAGGCTCACAGTCCAGTGGGAAGGCCAGGCGGGAAACAGTCAGCTCCCATGCAATGTGGAAAGGACGAATCGAGTCACTTCAGGGACAGAGAAAGCTTCTTGAAGGAGCTGATGTGTGTTCAGACTGGAAGGACCAGAGGGATGTCCAAGTGCAAAGTGCTAATTCTGGAGGTGAACCATGGCACTGACTTTAATAAGTGTGCCTTGTGTGGACATAAAAAATAAAACCAAACGATACTACATAGTTAGCCTGATTCCCCTGACAGCCACAGTAAGTGGGGGGCATCTTCAGGATTCTCTAAGGTGAAACCATACCTTGACCAAGTGTTTGGCGGAGGCTGGAGGAATGCACTGTTCCTTTCCCCTCTACCACTGTTGGAGAGCCCGAATTGGACAAAGAAGCAGCTTTGCAGCTCACCGACCTCTTCTCACCCACCCTCCACTCCTCCCCAGACACAATGAGAGAGAAGCCTCCTTGGCCTGGAGCAGGCAGAGCCAGGCTCCTCGAGCCCTTGCCCCCTTGTGATTCCCTGGGGCACCAGAAGGGCACCCTCTGCATCCTTTTGCTGAATGTCACCTGCACTGTGGAAGTGGGGACTGTTAGGTTGTCATTCATGGGAAGATGTTCTGAATGAGCCCATAACCGATGCAGGCTGTGTGTGGAGCCCAGCGCCTCTATTTTGCCACGGAAATCCCAGAGCTCACCTGGGTGTCCTTTGCAAACTCTGTGGGAAATGAATTCATTCTTAGGAAATAAAGTTGTATACACAGAGGATGCCGAATTCCTCTACTCTCCTTGTTTCATGTGCACGAGAGTCTTTGGTAAGGTTTCCAAAAGGTTTGTTTAACAGCTCCTTTACGCCTGTTATGGAGTTTTATTTTCCTGGAAAGCTCTCCCCTGTAGAATTCATCTAAGTCCTTTGTTAATGAATATTCTTAACCTCTACTGCAACAAGTTCTGGGAGGAAGCTCGTGCCTTTTTCTTGGGGAATACTTGCCATGGTAGGAAACTGGAGGAGATGGGTGTAGCAGGGAGGAGATGGGAGAAATACAGGATGGTTTGTGTCAGTGAGGGTGTTAAACTCAGACCTATGTACCTCACCCACCGCGGAATCTAAGCATTTGTATGAAGCGTGAAGCAGAAAGGAGGGGAGGAGTGGGATACAGAGAAAGGACAGAATTACCCTGTCATTCTGGGATCCCACTGCAGCTGCTCCCCGCTCACCTCCAGTCATTGACTGGAGCTTACGTTTGCCCTTCGCCTCTGTCCACTGGGAAGTACAGGAAAGCTCTCGNACGCCCCAGGGGACCGTCATTGACTGGAGCTTACGTTTGCCCTTCGCCTCTGTCCACTGGGAAGTACAGGCCAGCTCTCGAACATTGAGGGGTGAGGACTTGTCCTCCCAGCTGTCCTTCGCTATCCCATAGGAATGGGCCTGAAAGTTCCCAAGGATCTAGCCAAGGATTCCAATGGATCAATGTCACTTGAAGACCAAGTCCTGCAACACATTTGGAATTTGCATTTGTCTTCAGAACTTTCACCTCCCTTTCCAAGGTCCTCTAATGTCCCAGAGATGTCCACCGCTCTCATGGTTCCTGCAGAGAAAAATGAGGAGAACAACTCATTAGCATGCTCAGTGGGAATCAATGTCTCTGTCTTCTCTCAGAGCGTCACCTTTTCTAAAAGATAACAGGAAAAAGACCCAAAGAGTATAGTGGTGGCAGGTCTGGTCCTCCAGCATTCTTGGATATGTCCCCCATCTCTGTCTCCTGGTAGATAACTGGCTGCTTGATCCATGCAAGGCACTCTGTTGAAACACTCAGCAGAATACTCCAAAAGCACCAGAGAGGCATCTTCCCTCCCACTGGCTACCGCCCTGACCTGCAGACCAGCACACCCAGCAAGATGAGCCTCCGCGCCTCTGAGGACACTCTATGGCTTAGACAATCAGCAGTGGACCAGCTGTCAGATTATGAAATGATAAAGGGACTGGAGGGGCTTCCAAGACTTTGAGTACATGTAGCCACAGGACCATCACCTCCGCACTGCCTGGGGTCGGGCTGGCTATGAACGCGCAGGAGGAGCCAGGCCCGAGGACAGAACGCGGCCAAGTTCACAGCGCGTGCCTGTGGTTACACACAGGCCGACTCGCCTCCTGTTTGCACATGTGTCTGCTCCGTGCAGTGAATTTTAAAAAACAAGTCTATTCGGCTGCAAAATGTGCTTTTAAAGTATATCTTTTTTTTTTCTTTTTTTTAAATATATCTTTATTGATTTCAGAGAGAGGAAAGGAGAGGGAGAGAGAGAGATAGAAACGCCAATGATGAGAGAGTCATTGATCGAGCCCGCAACCCGGGCATGTGCCCCGACCGGGAATCGAACCCGGATCGCCTGGATCCTAGGTCGACGCTCAACCGCTGAGCCACGCCCGGCCCTGCTAAAGTATATCTTAATGGTCAGAAATTTTGTGAATTTAGTGAGTGTCCTCCTTTTTCCGTATAGAAATTCCTTTTGTTTCAACGTTGTTATACTTTATTTTATGCTAATGTACAGCAATGAGAGATCCAAGAAGAAAGTAGAGCATGCTTAAGGATAACACTTCATGACTCGTTTTTAAAGGTGAGAAATGGAAGCGACGGCAGTGCTCCCTTACTCGGCACCTATTGTGGAAGTCTGTTGCCAAATCCTATCTTCTCTCACCATAATGAACTGTACCTGCGATTTAAGAGTGACAGCACAACTTCCAGTCATGGATATGAAATTGTCTGGACCTCATCCCCCTCTGGTAAGACACTGGTAAAGTAACATAGGTGAGAAAATATCATGTGTCTAATTTAAAAAAGGCTATTAAAAATTACCTTATCTTTTTACCCATCTGTATACTTGATAATTTTCTGATAAAAATAGAAATTTTTAACAACGAATGTACAGAGATTCTTTTTAATTACACTTTTACTCATTTCTATATATTTTTATATATTAAAGAATATATATTTACATATAAAGCACAGATAAAGTATAAAGGTTTTAAAAATTCCTTTATAAAGTCTAATTTTGTCATGTTTTTAACTTTTGGTTTGATTATCAAGGTAGTTCTCGGAGAATTAAAAAAAAAAAGTTTACCAAAACGTCACATCACTAACACATCCCCGTGTATACCTGAGCAACTGTGCTCCGTGCAGCTCCTGTCATTTCTTGGCAGTTCTGGAGGTTAACTGCTTTTTCAGGGCAATAAGTACCATTCTGCATCTTTGGTTGTTTTTCAAATAAATGAAGAAAATTTAAGTCATGTCAGTACCTTTAACTCAAGAGAGAAAGAATACTTTGTGAAGTGTCCTCAAAATACCTAAAGACTTTCAAAATAAGAATGATAAAAATGATAGAACAAGAAAAATGTTCTATCGAGATAATAATAGGTAATGGACTCTCGCCATCCAAAGATACTTAAAGATGAGCTTCAATACCTTAATCTTACAGATGACGACATACAACACCAAATCAATGAATTGCCCAAAATGCACAGCTAGACTATGGCAGAGGCAGGACCAGACTCCAGTGGTCATAACCCAGCCCAGTTATTTTATTATTTTTTTTTTTTTGCCATGCCATCTACCTTCTTCCTGAGCAGTACCATATCTGGATCCCCAAGGCTGTGTGGTCTAAATAATGTTAGTTTTCATATACAGTTAACAAATTAAACAAATTGGTACCAACACTTACTTTTTTTTGGCTTTAAGTGTGTCAATCTCGGAACTGTCAGTTATAAGCCCAGTAAAGTCACTTTTACAATAATTACTGCCCAAATCTCCAAGAACACATTCTTTTTTGTTCAGCCCTGAAATTTCACTTTTTTTTCCAGTTGTTCAAAATATTACAGATGTCCCCTTTTTTCCCCATTGACCGCTTCCACCCCACACCCACTCCTGCCCCCAGGCCTTCGCCACACTATTGTCTGTATCCATGGGTTTTGCATATATGCATATAAATTCTTTGGTTAATCTCTTCTCACCAACCACCCCCCATCTTCCCTCTGAGANCACCACCCACCCCCCATCTTCCCTCTGAGATTCGTCAGTCTGATCCATGCTTCTATGTCATTGAAACTATTTTGTTCATCAGTTTATTATGTTCTTTAGATTTTGCATATGAGTGAGATCATGTGATGTTTGTCTGTCTCTGCCTGGCTTATTTCGCTTAGCATAATATTCTCCAATTCCATCCATACTGACCCAAAGGGTACGAGATCCTTCTTCTTTACAGCTGCATAGTATTCCATGGTGTAAATGTCCCACAGTCTTTTTTTCCACTCATCTCCTGATGGGCACGTGGGCTCTTTCCAGATCTTAGCTGTTGTAAATTGCACTATTTTACTTCACCCACATCATTATCAAGAACTTACTGCTTATGAAGAACTCTACCATCAAAAGCACACACAACTTTAATTACTCTCTCCTACAGTTATTTAATCTAGTTCACAGTTTTCCCACTGTGTTCTCAACCCACCATTTTCAAAGAAAAGACCTGGAGCTGGAGCTGGTTTGACTCAGTGGTAAGAGCATTGACCTGCGGACTGAAGGGTCCTGGGTTCAATTCCAGCCACGGACATGTACTTTGGTTGCAGGCTGCATCCCCAGCGCTGGTAGGGGCACATGCAGGAGGCAACTAAACAATATGTCTCTCTCATATCGATGTTTCTCTTTCNGCACGTACCTTGGTTGCAGGCTGCATCCCCAGCCCTGGTAGGGGCACATGCAGGAAGCAACTAAACAATGTGTCTCTCTCATATCGATGTTTCTCTTTCTCTCTCTCCCTTCCACTCTCTCTGAAAAGCAATGGGAAAAATATCCTTGGGTGAAGATTAAAAAAAAAAAAAGAACAGACCTGGAGGAAGCTTTCTCTAGGTCATGATAGAGAGGAAAAAGAATACAGGGTGGAGAAAGGGGTGGGGGAGACATGGGGNGAACAGACCTGGAGGAAGCTTTCCCTAGGTCATGACAGAGAGGAAAAAGAATACAGGGTGGAGAAAGGGGTGGGGGAGACATGGGGAGGCCAGGTGGTGAGGGATTTGGCCCAAAGGAGAAACAAGAAAAGGGTTTCCTCCTCCACTGTTCTTGCAAAGGGTCTCAGCACCTTCAGGAAACGGCATCCCCATCTTATTGCCTTACAAGTGCCCTAAAGGACTCCTAGCTGGTTTCTTCTTCGTTGAATCAAACTTCCTGCAATTATTTCTTACAGGCTGTGGTGGAACTCTTTATGGAGACCGAGGCTCCTTCACCAGCCCCGGCTATCCGGGCACTTACCCAAACAACACTCACTGTGAATGGGCCATCATTGCTCCTGCTGGAAGACTTGTCACCATCAACTTTTACTTCATCAGTATTGATGATCCTGGAGACTGTGTCCAGAACTATCTTATACTCTATGATGGACCAGATGTTAATTCTCCATCCTCTGGACCATATTGCGGCACAGTGAGTAAAGCAAGATTTTCAAATTCCCATTCATTGTGTTTAAGTAATGAAAGCAACTTAGTATACATTTTTAAAGGCAGACACATGCGAAGTACACAGCACGATGTACTTTTACATATTCAGTATAGTTTTCTGACTTTTCTTTCTGTTTGGGGGAGCACGAGTGCCACCTAGTGGGCATTGCATTAAATTAATAGTAATACAGTTACCAAACTCAATCGTGCATCTGAATTACCTACTCAGTTATTTACAGTTTTTACATAGGAATCACCTATGCGGTTACAGTTATAGTTACTACATTGCAGACTTCCAGTACTCACAGCTACTGAATCAGAATTCCTGGGAGAAGAGCTGTGGCACTTTTTTTTTAAAAGCCCCACTTCAATGCACCACTCAAGGTTGAATACCAGTGTTTGTTTCTGCATGATTAGAACTTTAAAACATTTGGATGCCTGACTCCATTTCATCTGCTTTTTGTTGAAAGTTGTGGGGGTTCTTTGAAGAAGGACACAGATATTAAAGATCGGTCCGGTGACTAAGAGTTTGATAGTTTTTGTAAAATTCCGATGGACTGGATCTTCCCTAAATATCAAGTTTGATTTCTGGCATTGAGTCAACGTTGCTTGCATGTTCCCTCATTGCCCTCTCATTTTACTGCAAGTGGATACTTACAGAGCTTTTAAGTAAGGGAAGTGTGATTGCTGATGGGAGGGTAGCTACTTCTCACTGTTCTAACCTTTAGCCATTTAGGCTTTCTAATCAAACCCAACAGTGAGTTACATCATCTGAAAAGCTGGATAGTTGTTTTTTNGAAAGCTGGATAGTTTTGTTTTTTTTTAATATAACACTACTTGTAAAATTGATAAATGTTATTTTCAGGATTATCAGAAAATAAATTTTTTCCAAAGCCCTGGGAATTCTCTCATGCATTCTTCAAAAACACTTTTCCTGAGTATATTTGCATACGCACACATATTTTATACTGTTTTGTGATATGGTTGTTTCACTTACCAAAATATCATTAACATCTTACCATGCCAATGAAAACACTGGTGTATCATATTTAATCAGTGGATGGTATTCTATTGCATAAGTACAGCCTAATTTATTTGATGAATCCTCTTTGGTTTATAGACAACACTTTGAAAACCTCTCCGGTAGCTCTATCCTTATATACAGAGTTAATTCCCTGGGGAGCAATTTTAGTCACCTGGCCGGTAGATACTGTGTCACTGTCATTCAGAGGGGATTCACAGAAAAGAAAAGCCGGTCGGCGTGTCACATTTCAGAGTTAGAGGCTGACTAGGTCTTAGACATTTAGCTGAATTTGTAAACATTTCAAAAAGGAGGAAAAGAGGTCACTTTAAAAGCACCATTACTTTATATCTGCACGGCTTGTTTTGTTTTGTTTTCAGTGACTTTCAAACATACAACCCCATTTGCTCCCCACAGAGACAACTCTGTGATGTGGCAAGAACAAGGATAACCTGGACTTTGCAGATAAAAGAAAACTGAGGCACGGAGAGGAGAACTGAACTGCCATTTAAACCAATGTCGCATTAAATTGAAGTTTATAACTAACTTCCAAGTCTATAACTAGATATGCCAGTTTTTTTTGTGTTTTTTTTTTTTTTTAATACTTTTTTATTCATTTCGGAGAGAGGAAGGGAGGGGAAGAGAGAGATAGAAACATCAGTGATGAGAGAGTCATTGACCAGCTGCCTCNAATAACCTGGACTTTGCATATAAAAGAAAACTGAGGCACGGAGGGGAGAACTGAACTGCCATTTAAATCAATGTCACATTAAATCGAAGTTTATAACTAACTTCGAAGTCTATAACTAGATATGCCAGTTTTTTTTGTTTTTTTTTAAATACTTTTTTATTCATTTTGGAGAAAGGAAGGGAGGGGAAGAGAGAGACAGAAACATCAGTGATGAGAAAGAGTCATTGACCAGCTGCCTCCTGCACGCCCCCTGCTGGGGATCAAACCCCAAACCTGGGCATGTGTCCTGACCGGGAATAGAACTGTGATCTTCAGGTTCATAGGTCGACCCTCAACCACTGAGCCAAGCCAGCTGGCAATATATCAGTTTTTTAAAACTCTGGGTGTTTACAATACTAGTTTTACATTTTCTTTGGTAAACATGGACTTCATTTTAAATGTAACTATTTTCTTTTTAAACTTACAGATGCAACTGATTTCTTTAGTATTTCAAGCCCCAAAAAATCAGTTTACTTCCAGAGTGATGGTAAAAGTCACTCCTTAGACTGTTAATCTAAGTTACAAAATCTTAAACATGAAAGAATAACAGGAAAAAGTAGGAGAATCAAAGGAGAGTTTAAAACTTGGGTTAACTGTTCACACTAGTTTGTCAATGTAAAACAATAATTGGAAATTTGGGGGCAGATTAAAATGGAAAGAAAAAATTGCATGGGGTGCGGGAATAGGCAACATTGTATATACCTTGAGATATCTCTTTGGAAAAAAATTCTCCGTGCTGCACTCACTTGAATAATTTCCTGTCTCGGAATTGTCTGTCTTTTGATGATTCTTGGGGAGGGCTGATGCAGTGAGACCCAGCAGAACAGAAGAGCAGGCCCCAAACTGCAGACTCCAGGACAATCTCAACCACCTGCAGAGTTTACCGACATAGTTGGCTCATAGTCCGCCTCCTCCATTAGAATGTGGCTCATGAGAGCGAGATGTTTTGTCTGTTTAGCTCATTTTTTATATCCCCGGTGCTAAAAAAAAAAAAAAAGCCTGCAACATGGAAGTCTCTTGATACATATCTGTTAAGTGAATGTTTGGGAAATGAGAGAATGATGAAAGCCATTTACTAACCCCACCCCCAAACACATTGTTCCACAGAAAGGATATGAAAATAAATCCCCAAAGAAAACTATAGATATTAAGGAGAGAGAGTAGTATACTTTACTCATATAATTGTTTTAGTCGCAAATATAAGTACGCATTTTCATCAGAAAAATTAAAATTTTAGTAAGAACTTGAATCGGAAATTCAGTTTTTAATGGCAATTATTATACTGAGATATAATTCATCTACTTAAAGTGTCTAATTGAAAAGTTTTTAGTAGACTGAAAGTTGTGTAGCTATCATCACTACAATCAATTTTAAAACATTTTCATTACCCCCAGCCCCAGTAATGGAAACTGTATCCGTAGCACCCCATTTCCCTTCAACCCCTAACTGCAGCAATATTCTTTTATGAAGTAATTCCCAACAAGATTACTTCTAGACATATATGACGGTTTAGTGTAAATTTTTTACTGCTTTATGTAGTACCTTATTACTATGCTAACATTTTTGAAAAATGCTCAACTTTATGAAAAATATAACTTGTTACTTTTTTTTTTTTTTTTTCAATTTTAGGACACTAACATAGCTCCCTTCGTGGCCTCCTCACATCGAGTCTTCGTAGAATTTCATGCAGAGTATGCAGTGCGCCCGTCAGCAATCCAGTTAACCTGGGAGAGCTGAACGCGCAAGGACTGTGTTCAGCCAGCACTTTGGCTCTCCTGCAGGGGCCATCAGCCATCACCCTGGACAGAGCTCTGCCATCCTGATCCATGACCCCTGCCCGTGGCACTGAGAATAACTTTGACATTTGTTTTTCACCAAAGTGTGTGTGGAATCAATATTTGTACATTTTTTAAAATTGTAGAATGTAGCTTCTTTAGTCTTGGCTGGGCTCGTCATTTTTTATTCTAATATTTGAGCTGAAATTTTCTAAAATCCCCTAAAGAGATGGAAATCATTATGGTATATGTGCTGTCATTCAAAAGTAAATAATAAAACAGAGCTATGATTGTTACTGTAAATGTCAAATTAGGTGTAATGAACTTGAATTGTACACAGATATGCTGCATTCATTTTTAACTCATTAAAATTTAGTCTTTCACTATATGGTATATATAAATTTTCAAGTTGAATTTTTACATTTTGATGAAGTATATGAATCCTTCAGGAAAGAACCCTGGAGCCAGGCTGCTGCATTTGGACTTAGTTCTACTAGTTAAGTGTTTTCTTAACTTCTCTCTGCTTCAGTTTCCATAAGTACCACCATTATCTATTCCTAGTTTAACAATACAATATGTGAAGTTATAAATAGTTGAACAACACTTTCATCTTTTTAAAATTTTCACCTGAGGATATTTTTTTCATTGTTTTTCAGGGAATGTGGAAGAGAGAGAGAGGAAGAGAGAGAGACATTGATTGGTTGCCTCCCACACTCGCCCCAACCAGGGCCAAGGATCGAGCCTGCAACCCAGGTACGTGCCCTTGACTGGAATCGAACCTGGGGCTCCTCAGTCCAAGAGCGAATGCTCCAACCACTGAGCCAAACCGGCTAGGGCAAACAACACTTTTATAAACTTTTCTGCTTCCTTTAACAAAGCAAGAGACTTTATGTCAAATATGCAAAGTGAGGTCCTATTAAGGACATGGGTCAAGGGAACGAAAGGAGCTGGGGGATGTTTTACTTTATTGTACTCTTATACTCAAATGACACAGAAATTATTCCTGCACAGAGCAGAGAGCCTGTAAAGAAGATTTTTTTACCTTAAAAATTCCTACTTCCTTTGACTCTGTATTATGGATAGATACATCAACTTTATGGATGACACGCTATTGGAAAGAACGATGAATGCAATGAAGAGCACCATCAAACCAAAGAAACAATGCACTAAAACCATCAAGATAAAATTCGATGGGGGTTGATATAAGATCTAGCTCTTTTATCTAAAAATGAATCACAAAGCTACATAATGTGGAGAAAGTTTAACAGTAACCTATGAAATGACAGGAGTTTTATCTGAAAGCAAGATGAATATATGCAGCTGTCAAACAATAAAAAAGATTTGATCTTAGATTACATCGTTAGAGTAATGGTGTATCTACAAGAACCATTTTCCATCAGACAGACATGCTCTCCTAGGAGGCATATTGCAATATTTAGGAGGTATATGTACCAAGTTGAAGAAAGCATCGTCAGTGATAAAGCTGAAAACTTAAAACAGGAAAAAAAAGAATATTTTGTCCTGTTCTGTGGTTTGTCTTTTCAATTTGTTGGTGGTTTCCATTGCAGTGCAGAAGCTCTTTAGTTTAATGTAGTCCCACTTATTTGTTTTTATTTGTGTTGCCTGTGATTTTGGTGACTTATCTGAGAATTCGTTGCCAAGACTGATATCAGGTAGGGTGATAACTCCAACTTTATTCTTCTTTCTCAAAATTGCTGTGGTTATTCAGGGTATTTTTGGGTTTAATATAAATTTTTGGATTATTTCTTCTAGTTCTGTGAAATACACAATTGGTATTTTGATAAAAATTGCATCAAATATCTATATTGCTTTGGGTAGTATGGACACTTTAATGATGTAAATTATTCCCATCCATGAGGATGGTATATGCTTCCATTTATTTGTATCGTCTTCAATTTTTCTTCTTCAGTGTCTTATAATTTTCCAGTGTCTTATAATTGTCCCTTATCTCCTTGGTTAAATTTATTTCTAGGTATTTTATTTTTTTGATGCAATTATAAATGGAATTGTTTTCTTAGTTTCCCTTTCTCATACTTCATCATTGGTGTGTAAAAATGCAACCAGTTTCTAAATATTTATTTTGAATCATGCTACTTTACTGAATTCATTTATCATTTCTAGTGGGGGGTTTTGGTAGAATCTTTAGGGTTCTATATATATAGTATTATGTCATCTGAAAATAATGACAGTTTTACTTCCTTTCCAATTTGGATGTCTTTTCTTTCTCCTTCTTGTCTGATTACTGTGGCTAGGACTTCCAGTACTATGATGAATAAGAGTGGACACCCCTGTCTTGTTTATGATCTAAATTGAAAACACTTTTAGTTTTTCCCCATTGAGTATGATGTTAGCTGTGGGTTTTTCCTATATGGCCAGTATGTTCCCTCTATTCTCACTTTGTTGAGAGTTTTTATCATAAATGGGTGCTGGATTTTGTCAAATGCTTTTTCTGCACCAATTGATATGATCATATGATTTTTATTTTTCATTTTGTTTATGTGATGTATCACATTTATTGATTTACTGATATTATACCAACCTTGCATCCCAGGAATAAATTTCACTTGATCATGGTGTATGATCCTTTCAATGTATTGCTGAATTTGGTTTGCTAATATTTTATTGAGGAATTTTGCATCTATGTTCATTAGGGATAATGGCCTGTAATTTCTTTCTTTGTAGTATCTTTATCTGGTTTTGGAATTGGAACAATACTGGCCTTAAAAAATGAGCTTGGGAGTCTTTCCACCTTATGAATTTTTAGGAATAATTTGAGAAGGACAGATGTTAGCTCTTTAAATGTTTGATAGAATTCACCTATGAAGCCATTTGGTCCAAGACTTGTTTGTTGGGAGGTGTTTATTTTTTGTTGTTATTATTGTTGTTTATTGCTTTTATTTCATTAGTTGTAATCACTCCATTCAGATTTTCTGTTTCTCCTTGATTCAGTTTTGGAAGATTGTATGTTTCTAGGAATTTATCCATATGTTTCAAATTGTCCAATTTGTTGTTCATAGTAATTTTCTATAATCCTTTGTATTTCTGTGGTGTCAGTTGTTACTTCTCCTCACTTATTTCTGATTTTATTTATTGAGGTCCACTCTCTTTGTTTCTTGATGACAAGTCTGGCTAAAGGTTTATCAATCTTGTTTATCTTTTCAAAGAACCAGCTCTTGGTTTCATTGATCTTTCTTTTTTTTTTGTTTTTTGTTTTGTTTTGGACTCTATTTTGTTTGATTCTGCTCTGATCTATATTATTTCCTTCTACTCACATTTAGCTCTGTTTGTTGTTCTATTTCTAGTTCCTTTAGGTTTAAGGTTAAATTGTTTATTTGAGATTATTCTTCTTTCTTGAGGTAGGCCTATATTGCTATGAATTTCCCTCTTAGGACTGCTTTTGTTGTGTACCATAGATTTTGAGTTTTTGTGTTTTCATTTTCATTTGTCTCAAGGTATCTCTTGATTTCTTTCTTGATTTCATTGTTAACCCATTCAATGTTTAGTGACATGTTGTTTGGCCTCCACATGTTGGCGTGTTTTCAGTTTTTTTCTTGTAATTGATTTCTAGTTTTATACCATTATGGTAAAAGAAGATACTTGATATAATTTCAATCTTAAATTTATTGAGATTTGTTTTGTGTCTTAACATATGGTTTACTTTGGAAAATGTTCCATGTGCACTTGTAAAGAATGTATATTCTGCTGCTTTAGGGTGAGGTGTTCTGCAAATATCAAGTCCATCTGCTCTACTGTGCCATTTAAGGCCACTATGTTCTTGTTGATTTTCTCTCTGGAAGATCTATTCATTGATGTCAATGGGGGTAGTTAAAACCCCCTACTATGACTGTATTACTGTAGGTCTCTCCCTTTATGTCCATTTGCTTTATATATTTAGGTGCTCCTATGTTAGGTGGTCCTATTATCAGGGTTGTAGCCTCTTTTTGGATTAATTCCTTTACCTTTTCAACTACCCTATGTCTTTTGATTGGAGCATTTAATGCATTTACATGTTTTTATATTTAAAATGATTCTTGATAGGTATGTGTATATTGCCATTTTATTATCTATAATTATATTCCTCTTTTTCTTAAAGAATCCCTTTAACATTTCTTGTAATACTGGTTTGGTGGTAATAAACTCCTTTAGTTTTTTCTTATCTGGGAAGCTCGTTATCTGCCATTTGATTCTAAATGACAGCTTTGCTGGGTAGAGTAATTGTGATTGTAGGTCCTTGCATTTGATCACTTTGAATATTTCATGCCAATCCCTTCTGGCCGGCAAAGTTTCTGTTGAAAAATCAGCTGGAAGTCTAATGGAAGCTCCCTTGTAGGTAACTAACTGTCTTCTTTTTGCTGTTTTTAAGATTCTTTGCCTTTAACCTTTGGTATTTTAATTATGATGTGACTTGTGTGGGCCTCTCTGGGTTCATCTTATTTGAGACTGTCTTCACTTCTTGGATTCATATATCTGTTTCCTTTGCCAGGTTAGGGAAATTTTCAGTCATTATTTCTTCAGATGGGTTTTCAATTAGTTGCTCTCTCTCTTCTCCCTTTTTTTCCCTATGATGTAGATGTTTTTATGCTTGATGCTGTCCTAGAGGTTCCTTAAACTATCCTCATTTTTTTAAAACTCTTTTTTCTTTTTGCTGCTCTGATTGGGTGTTTTCTGCTATGAGGTGTTTGTCTTCCATATTGCCAATTTGATCTTCTGCTTTATCTAACCTGTTATTCATTCCTTCTAGTGTAGTCTTCATTTCAAATAGTATATTCTTCTTTTGTGACTGGTTCCTTCGTATGGTTTCTGTGTCTTTTTTTATGCTTATTAGCTGTTTGTTTAAATTTTCACTGAGTACATCCATTCTTCTCCTAAGTTCACTGAGCATTCTTATAGAATTGTTTTGAACTTCATATCTGGTAAGTTGCTTGCCTCTATTTTAATTTAGTTCTTTTTCTGGGAATTTCTCCTTTTCTTTGGGTTATGCTTCTCTGTCACTCATTTTGGCTGCCTCTCTGTACTTGTTTCCTTGTATTAGATCTGCTATGTCTCCCAGTCTTGGTATGGTGCCCTTATGTAGTAGGTGTCTTGTGGGGTTCAGTGGCTCAGTCTCCATGATCACCTAAGCTACATGCTTCAGAAGTGTCCCTTGTGTGGGTTATGTGAGCCCTCCTGTTGTAGCTCAGTCTGGATTGCTGTTGGCCCATAGTGGGTGGGGTCAGCCCTCAGACTGGCTGACTATGAGGATTAACTCCCACCACAGTGTAAGAGCTAGTGATCAGGAGTTGACCTCAGAAAGTAAAATTCACCCCAGCAGAATCTGTTACCTGCTGAGATCTCCCTTTGGGACTGCTGCTTGTGGAGCTAATTGGGTCATGCTCTCATGTGATCTGAAGCCTGC